CACACACACACACGCATGGTCTGGGGAGTCTGTACCCTCATGGCCGTGGAGGGAGTGGGGTGCACCAATTTCAGTCCCCCCAAAAGTTCACAGCAGTCTCTGATAAATGCTGTTGAATCTACGTAGATGTTCAAGGTCAAGGCCCTGCTCCCTCCTTGACCAGACCAGGTGTGTGTGGGGGCTCACACCCGGGTGAGGAACTCCCCAAAGGCCCTTGGCCTGTCACCTGAGGTGGTCCCGGCCTGGGCCGCAGTCACACGCCCTCTTCCCGTCTGTGCTCCTCTCTGAACCCGGCCCTGTTCTTGCCGGCCTCTGCACATGCCTGTCCGTTCCGTACCTGACTCCTGTGTGGCGCATCACAACAGACGCTGGGCTTCAGCCAGGACTCACAGACATTCCCCGGGCCACGGGCTGCATCTCGGTGGGGTCGGCAACCCGCTGACTGCAGAGCAGCTGATGGGGGCCCGTGAGGGTGCTGTGTGGGCAGGAGACGGAGAAAGGCCATTCCAGTTTGGGGTAGACGAGGGAATGTTCAGGCAAGACTGCAGCATGTGTGTGAGGACTGGCTGGGCACAGAAGGAAGCAGGAGGGTCCAGGCAGGCAGACAACATGTGTGTCAGCTGGAGAGACACAGAACACAGTTGGGGGCAGATTTTCTTGTGTGTGTGTGTGGGGGGGGGGGTTGTGGGCAGTGAGGCGGGGTGATGCCAAAAGCCCCTGGCACCAGACAGGGTCCCGGAGGTGGAGATGCAGAGGCCAGCGAGGTAACTGCATGGGCCTGAGGCAGGCTGGGAGAAGCACATCCTCTCGGTTCTCCATCAGATGTGGGGGCGTGAGGGCTTCGTGACCTCGCGAGATGTCTCTTGCCGCCACACAGCTTGTGGCACCAGGCGCTAGCAGGCCCATGACAGCGCCTGTGTCCCTCGGGGTCTGCATTAAGGGAGGCCGAGGGGTGCAGGTCTTTACCTTCGTCTCGGCCCAGCTTCAAGAACAGGTGTCAAGTTCACCCATGCACCCAGAAGGCCCGAGGAGCCCGACTCAGATGCTGAATGGAGCGTTCCCGTGGCATCACCTGTGAACGCTAAAACACTTCCAAAGACTGACTCCACCCCCCAGCCAGGCGCGCTCGCGCTCCTAAGACGTGGTCCTGTGGCATGGGCACGTTGCCGAGAGTGGCCACGGTGCTGGGGTGGCAGCCTGTGCCAGAGCCACACTCCAGCCTCTCCCGAGCTGGGCAGGCGTGTGTGCCTGAAGTCACCTTTCTTGGTGCGAGGCAGATGCCCCCAATCATGTGTTCTTGGACTTCACTGGTGATGCCCAGAGCCCCTCCAGTAACCATGGGTATCCTCCGATGACCTCAGTGGCATTTCTCTTTTCCCTTTTTTTCCTGCCTGTGGTAGCTTTGCTCTACCGCGCACTGATTCTTTCCAGTTTGTACCTCGGCAAAGACCCCCCACTTCCAGCTCTGGGGGTTCTGCCCATGTCGTTCATGCGTACAGAAAGCCTGTCGGTTCTGGTCCCTGGCATGCATGTGCACATGCCCACGCAGCTGTGTGCATTGCTTTTGATTTCTTGTAGAGACAGCCTTAGCCGTCAGTAAGTCGTATATGCGGAGGCCAGCAGCCCGCTGAGCCCTGGTACCTGGGGAAACCCAGGGAAACTGAGCCCCTGTTGCACAATCAAGCGCTGGTCCCCCAGAGCTGCTCTGCACGCATGCCTGGAGTCATCAAAATAGGGAACATGCTAAGCACCCAAGCCCTGTGATCCCACACTAAATGACCCCTCCCATCCTGACCCGGAGTTATTAATAATTTTATTAAGAACGCGCTTTCAACACGCTTGTATTTATATATGTACTTAGCAAGAAATCACCAAGACTTCGGAGGGAAGTTCCTCTTCCCTTTCCCTGTCATTGCCCAGAGAAAGGGAGAAACAGAAGATCTAAAAACTGTCTTTAACTTGGCCCAGGAGGTTTGAGCTTCTCCATGGTTCATTCCTGTCTTTGGATTTGGAGGGGGCTCCCGAGACCTCAAGCTCATGGGGACCCTCAAGTGTTCAGATGCCTGTCGCAAGCTTTCGTGCAAAGAAATCCTAACACTTGGTTTTCTTGCCTTGAGATCTTTAAGATCTGTGAGTGCCACAGCAGCACGCCATTAGTTCAGCCAGTATCAAAATTAGTGTTCGAGTTTGCAGCTTGGACTCAACCACCTGAACAAACACCTGCCTGAAGGTGGTAAGTGCTCGCCTGTGTCTTTCCATTGGGGGGAGGGAGAGCTGCGAGGAGGTACCTGAACATCTGTGAGTCTGGGCTTAGCTTGGCTCTAGATAGATATCTATGCAAACTCTGATCATAAAGAGTTAGTCATTTGCAGTTCATTTTCCTGAAGCTTCTAGTTCAGTTATTAGTGTCCTGTGTCAAAAGATGTATTTGAGCAGGTGACAGAAAGTGTTCAATATTCTAGCTGAGTGTGGGGGCAGACTGTTGACTGGCGGTCAGTTGAGTGGATGGACAGCACCTCCTCTACACAGGCCGGCTGAAGGGGACGCGGCGGCAGGGGAGGGAGGCCAGGGACATAGTTTTCGTGGGGCTGGTAAACAATTCCTTCTAGGAATCACGCAGTCTAGGGTCTCAGTCTAGGGTCTTTTTAGAAACCATGCTGACTATTGCTAGAAGTGTTTGCTCAGCTTGACTCAGACAGGCCACATCAGCTTGCTTCCAGAACACATGTGTCAGTGATGGCGGACACGACCATCACTGACCACATGACATGGCCTTGGCCTCTCGCTGCTCTGCCAGTTCCCTGCCCATCAGTGGCCCTCAGCCTCCCACAGAGAGGACCCCTAGAAGTGGCCAGACAAACCAAACAGGAACTGCCCTTTCTTGTGAGCAGCTTCGCCTTTTATGGGTCAGCTCTGGGTTTCCCCATGGCCTGATGGGGAGCCTTTTTGGAAAATAAAAATCAAAAGGCCTCTCCATGTGCCCTGCAGAAATGTCACCTTCTGCTTTACAAAGGGTGTGTCTTTCACAGCAGAGCTCAGCTTCCCTAGAAGGCGAGTCTCTCGAGAGCCTGGACCTGGCGGGGCAAGGCTGAGGATGCTCCTGTGTGAAGCCACAGCAGGCAAGGCAGAGCCACCGGCAGGAAGGTGCAAGACAGTTCTGTGTCTTGGCTGTTCGCAGCAGCGTCTGGATCCTCATGAGCCAGGCGTTGGGCCTCCCCGCTCACAGACCCACGGGCGAGGCCTCTTCTAGGCATAATGCTGGCCCCTCAAGCGCCCGCTGTCAGGCGCACTAAGCTGCAGGTCCTGATGTTGCAGGCTGGAGGCAGGGGTGCGCCCTTGCAGAGAGGCAAGGTAGGCCCTGGCCAGAGACCCGGCGGGCCTGCCAGGTGCGTGCCAGACTGGCCTCTGGGGCGCAGGCCCATCCAGTTCTCTGGAATACCTCGGGGAAGTCCCAGGACGGGCAAGCCAGTTGCCTGGGGAACTTGTCAAGACCCGGTGCCAGGTGGCCACCCTTGCTCACAACAGGCCTCTCTCACCGCCCTGCTGGGGCTGCAGAGGTGTGATGGGCAATGAAATCGGCCTTAAACTCACATCTTCACAACCGTCTCATGAGCTGGGCTTGACCACTACCCGTATTTTTCAGATGAAGAAACTGAGTTCTAGGGAATGTGACCACTGCCGAGCCTGGGGGCAGGAATGCTTGCAGGTCATGG